CGCACGCACGCGATCACACGCGCGCTACGCAACACACGCACGCGATCACACGCGCGGCACGCACGCGCAGGCGAAACACATGCACGCACGACAAACACACGCACGCACGCACGCGATCACACGCGCGCACGCAAACACACGCACGCGATCACACGCGCGCACGCACGCGCAGGCAAACACATGCACGCACGCATGCACGTACGCGATCACACACGCGCACGCATGCAGGCACGCACGCGCTCACATACGCGCACGCAAACACACGCGCGCACGCACGCGCGCACACATACACGCACACAAGCACACCAATGCACACTCTTGCACACCTACTCGCGCAGTAAGACGCGCGCCTACTACTGGACACCGTTTAACTACACCGATCACACATCGCCTTCTTTCTATAACCGCCTATCGGGAATCAACATGTTCTGCTAGCATCTATGACAAATACGACATACGCATATACGCTCTCCTATGACACTATTTGTCATAGGAAGATTCTTCCTTTTGACAAATATTGGCGAGTCAACTTCGTTCCGCTTTACAGCTGAAATTCACTGCTTGCGTTCATAATAGCGCTCCTAAACTCCTATGATGCGCACAACACATACAACAATATTTGTCATAGGAAGAATCTTCCTATGACAAATAGTGTCATAGGAGAGCGTATATGCGTATGTCGTATTTGTCATAGATGCTAGCAGAACAGGCTGCGGGAATTGTAACATCGAAGCGCGAACGCTGCCGGTCCCGTATTTACGTACAAGACGAGAGAGCGACGCTGTTACATAGCGTCACCTTCCCTCACGCTTGTACCGCGACTTACTCGTACGAATTACTTGTCGCGGACATTGTACGGGGTAATGTCACCCCGCTCGAATTTAGATGCGACATGTGTCGTGTGTCGGGACCGGGAGAGCAAGCGCGCGGGAGCACGTTGAGCTTTGTGTAACACCGCGAGACAGAGAGAGAGAGGGGGGATATATAGAGAAAGAGAGAGGAGAGGAAGAGCGAGGGAGAAAGAAAGGGTGGTGAAAGTAAGAGAGAGGGGGAAGAAGAGATAGATAAAAAACGAAAGAGGGGGAGGTAGAGGAGGGTAGAGGAGAGGAGGAGAGAAGGAGTGCGAAAGGAGACGGAGGAGGAGGAGGAGAGAGAGGGAGAGAGGGGGAGGAGAAGAGAGAGCGAGTGAGAAACAGAACCGCGGGCGTATGTACGATCATGATCAGCTATCTTCCATCGTGACGTCAGAAAGCCCATCCCAACATCCTGCGCGACCCAGCAACAGTATTTCCATTCTGCGCTCCCGTCGGCGCAACCTCCGCTTCGTCGGCCGTCGTCGTCGTCGGCGGCGGCGGTGACGATGCGGTCGACTGGCCGATGTTCAGCGAAACTCTGGCGGCAGGCGTCACACCGCGTCCTCCTGTATCGTGCGCGTTAAGTCTGGACCTGCGAAGAGAAGTAGAATTATTATGATCTGCCGGCGAATGAATGCAGTTAGTCGCTCACTAGCCACGCGTGGACTGCGGCTGCTAGAAGGAGAGAGGGAGGGAGAGAGAGCGCGCGCGAGGAAGAGAGAGAGAGAGAGGGGGAGACCGAGAGAGAGAGAGCGAGAGAGAGAGAGAGAGCAAGAGAGCGAAGTGAGAGGGTGTCTGAGAGATAGCGAAGGGAGAGAGAGGCAAAGGGAGTGAAGGGGGCGAGAGAGAGAGCGCGCGCAAAAAAGTAAAAGAGAGAAAAGTGGCGAGAAAGAGAGAGAGAGTGCGAGAGAAAGAGAGAGAGAGAGTGCGAGA